CTTTAATCTTTTTTTCTGTGCATCAGATTAACCCGATGCTGTAAGGTGAAAGTCAACTAGCCTGACCTGCATCCAAGTAAACTTTTTCACCAAGCAAACGCTGTCCAAACACTCATCATGCATTCTGTCGACCAATCACAGGGTTCCTGGAGTCACAGCAGAGAAGATTAAACTACTATTCCTCAAAAGCACAGAGGAGCAGTGTTTGTCCAGAGTGCAGGGAGTCAGGGTCCAAGGAAAGTGGATTTGATGTTCTGATTCATTGCCATGACTGTGTGTGTGTGTTTGTATCTGTGTGTATGTGTGTGACTATATGAGAGAGTGTGTGAGGTGGGGTCCTGACTGATGGATGGATGGATGGTTGGTTGGGTGACAGTGAACAGATGGAGGCTCTGATGGATTGCAGTGACATTAGATGTGAAAGAGGAGCAGGGCTGCGGGTCAGGAGACGCAGCCGCTCTGCACACCTCGTCATTCTCGCATTTCAACTCGGAGTCTTTATTGAACCGACTTTTTATCAGAGATGCTGAGTGGGAGCAGAGCCCTGAGTGCCAACTGTCAACACAACACGTTAAAACATTCACACCCAAACTCCTCTATGAATTTTCTATCAGTCTTGTTCTCCTCATTTGGTATCTGATCAGACTCCTCAAACAGGTTTTAGTTTGTTTTTTTATTCCTCAACAGCAGCACCAGCCTCAGGCCTTTTGTACCAGCGCATCAATCCACAATCTGCTCTCAAGGATGGGATTGTTTCAGGGGATAACCCGGATAGCCTCCTCATCAGTTAACACTTCCAATTGAATGACAGCTGTCAGACCTCTGTTGAACTTGATTTGGATAAAAAAATATATTTGTTATTAAAATAAATAAGGAATCTCCTCTTTTTCAATCTTGTTTACTGATGAGATCAAACCCCAGTCTTGATACAACACCTGAAAGCATCCCCTGATATGAAATAAAACAGTGATAACGTTACATTATATGACTGAACGACAGGTTACAGGAGTTGCACAAAGCTACTAGTATTTCAAATGTAAATGAAGGTCTTTGCATGCTGCCGTTATACTCATGTTACATCTCGTCGGCAGTGTGTAACAAAATCATCCCATCTCTGATCCCTCCCCCTGTGGATATCAGGAGCCTCTGGGGGAGGAGAAGGTCGCACTATCGCATACTAAAGTGACTTCATACTTGAGTTAAGACCAAACTCGGCCCAAACTTTGGGACTCTGCTGCCACAGATGCAGTACCTCTCACACATAGATCATAACTAGGAAGGTTTTCAAGCACAATTTTTGTTATTTTTTAGCAGCCAGTAAGTAAACAATCAACCCACATGCTGTGAGTAGTGTTTGCTCAGCAGGTGATGTGATACAGAGAAAGTCAGAGAAACATGGTTGGTCCCCTCTTTCAATGAACACTAATGACTGACATCAACATCTTGTATATAAACCTTCTTAGCTGTTTACCGTAGAGTTCACAATTTCAGATCATTATCACAGCAGGTGGTGGTCCACACATGGAGCACCTGTTGTGACAACTAAACTTTCAGAACTTGAGTTGTGTTATTTCGGGTGCTGTTGGCGAGCGTTTTCCAAAAGATCAGACACAAAGAGGCGTACAGAAACTGCAGGACGGAGGACGAGGTCACAGCTCTGCTTAAAGGGGAGAGATGCACCCCACAACCCTAAACTGTGATTGGCTTTTTGCCTTATCATAAATGAAACTTGGAATTAAAAGATAGGGAAATTCAGCTAAATGGGAAGCAGCTGTGTTAGATTTTTAATCGTTTGGCTGCTGTTGCTGTAAGAGTGGGCTTAAAAACAAAAGGAAAGTCTATTCTTTGTTGCACAAAATACTGTAATTATATTCACTGACATGGTGGTACAAGCGTTATATCTTAGTCAATAAGTCAAACTTGGTTTTGTTTCACCACTCTGACCTCCCTTTCTTAAGTGAACCCCAGATGTCCTGTTGGTGGACCTCCATCCTGATGTGTCTGTAAAGCCGCTGCCACTCAGCTCTGCTTCGCTGACTCCATCACAGCGATGGTGGGTTAACAAGAAGATGCATATGGCTGGAAGAACATTTGGAGTTTTGATAGATCCGCTGAGCTCCTCTGGAGAGTGGGAGTAGTCATGCATTAATCAGGGCCTGCCAATTATAAAAGTGTGTCTGTTGTGTCCAGGGGCATCACTAGACTCAGAGCTTTACATGGGATTAGCCCCTGCTTGTTAGGGGGCCTTTAATGAGTGGGGGGAGGGGACTCTGGGGCCACACTGCCTGAGAAGACAGTAAAAAAAATAAAAAATAAAAAAAATGATAACATCTATGAACATTAAACTGAATTGCCAAATATAATATTCAGAACAAGAAGCTGTTGTATTTGTCCAACAATTTTACTTGTTTACACTTTTTCTTAGTCCTCAATCTTTTTTGTTATGCCAGTCACTAAAATGAGTATCAACACAGTTTGATAATCAGTTTGTATGCCCAATCAGGTCTGCATATAAAAAGTCAGGTGGAAAACAATCTACCATAATGGCTCATAATGGAAATTTGATAACAGCTGATTGTTTTCTTATTTTTAGTAGGACATACCTGATAGAGCTAGACTTTTCATTTCTTGCTCTCTCTTTTAGTTTCAGTCGGCTGAATTAAGCCAAAGTGAAGCATTTAAGTGACTTACTTCCTACAGTGAAACTGAGACCCATCACCAACAGATAAACAGTAAGTCAGAGTGAAGCCTCTATTTCTCTCACTGTTTCAGTAAAATCTGAGACTCAGAATCAAGATTTTTTTTTTTTAGCAGACTCAAGACAATTCATTTACAAGAAAATCACAAAATCAGTTTCTTTACAGCCTCTATGTAACTTACTATTTGCAGTGAAACTGAGACTCTGCATTAGGAAAACTTACAGCACTGTTTAAACAGAGTGAGAATTCATATTTTACAGTGAAACTGAAAATCAATGCAAACAGTTTCCCTGCATGAGGTCTCTGAGTCACCTTCTACTGACAGTAAAACTGGGACTCACCACAGATGAATTAGCACTCAGCCACAATTTAGCCTCTAAACAATTCAAAATTCACAGTGCAACTGAAACTCACTACAAAGAAATAAAAATTCAGCATGAAACCCTAACTAATTATTCATGTCATGGGTGGCCTTTCCAGACAGAAACCCTATGTTCTACCCTCAGATGAATATTAGTGCGCATTCACACCAGGACTGTTCGATTTGTTCTAAAAGGACCATGGTCCCCTTACTCATTTGGTCCGAACCGTGGTCCGAATCAAACAAACGGACCATGGTCCTCTTGAAAATGCAGGACTCGGTCCCCTTCAAAACAAACCATGGTCTGGTCTGTAGGAGGTGTGAACAGAACACTGATGCAGCCGGACTTTTTATATGTCAATATAACCTATTAACACATTTATACTGTAATAAGGCCGGAAAAGTTTGCCCGGCCAGAGGTTGCAGGAGACGGAGAACAGCCGGTTAAAACAGACGGTCAGAAGGTTAGTGGACTAATACAATAGTCGGGTGATAGAAATTAAATAAATACCTGGGTGTTCTTCTGTTCAACAAACACGTTGATAATGTGTTATAGAAATTCCTTTGCATTGATGCCAAGTGTCTCCTTGCACAACGTTTCCGTCACCTCTGGTGAATTGTGTGAAGCAAGACACCTTTTGTTCTCTCTGGACAGCTACTCTCTGTGTGTTGTTGGACAATGAAGATTATGCCCCAAATGAGCAGGTGACAGACAGGGATTTTCCCCCTTTTTTTTAACCATTTGGTTCACCTAGCATAAGTCCCATGTGAATGCAACCGGACCAAATGCAAAATGTAGCAATGTAAACATTTGGTCCCTGATCCGGACCTTCTAAGCGGACTTTGGGTGAGAAAGACCCCTTAGTGTATGAATCACGAACTAATGAGACAAACAACAGGTTGGTGCAATATAATGACCCAGTTGCAGTCAGCAGACCTACAAAGTTTTCATAAAAAAATAAAAATAAAAAAATAAACTCTTGTAGTAAATTTTCCTGATCACTGTCAGGAAAATGTTGCATTCCTTGGTAGCCCCTTTTTTAGTGAAGATCTTTAAATTTTAGGTGTATTGTGGAGAAAAGTTGTTTCCTGTATATATATACATAATATATTTGCCATAAATGGCTACCTGTCAGAGCCACATAGCTTTAACTAAGAAGAATGTTAATTGAATTGATCCAGGCTGTAAAACTGAAGAAGGAAACTCTGTTTTAGCAGCTTGAAGAGGCTGTAAAAATGTTTGAGCTTCAATAAATAAATGAGCTTTGCCTCTAACCCACTCATAATCATTTACTCTGTTTAATTCAGATGGTTTATATGTTGCTCAAAGAGGCTGTCACTCTATTTTATTATTTCCTAATTGCTTTCAGGAGTGGGTGAGGCCTTGTATCCACATACTTGAAATTGATTCATTCATGTAATTGGCGTCAACAGAACAACGTGTTTTAACTCAGAAGGAATCTGGTTTTCCAGATCAGCAGGTTCGTTCAGCTCTTTTGAAGCCAGCAGTTCATGAGAAATTAAAGAGCTTAATGATTCAGGTGAATGCTGCGTGGAGTGAATTCACTGTCAGCCTTCACACTTCCTGCTAAAGCTCCGGTTGAAAGAGTCTCAGTTTTAAAAATGTTTTCATAAATCATATCCTTGTCACCTGGACGGTTGTGTCAGGGTGATTTTGAGCTGGTTCCTAAAGTGTCACCAAATATTCTGTTTAACTTAAATTTGACACTTTTAAACCCAGTCTCACTGTGGTTTTAAATGAAACACCATTGATTGCTGAATACGTTTTGCTTCTGTTTCTTATGATTTATGAATCCCAGAGCCGCCATCAGGCTGACGGCCTTGGTAGTCAGATTTTAAAAAGATGCTGTTAACAAACCAAGTGGTCCCAACCCTCATCAGAGCAGAGGATACTGCGGCCATAATATTCAAAATTATTTTTAAACTTTTATTGGTTGGACCACAGGACAGATTTCTAGTTTTCCATTGTCCCACAGGCAGTTAAAATCTGGGTTGTACTCTGAGTAAAAACCTGGGTTTTGCTCTGTGTGGGAACCTGGATTGTCCTCTGAGTAAAAGCCTGGGTTGTACTCGGAGTTAAAGCCTTGGTGATTCTCTGGGCCGTGCATTGCGTTTGGATCAGCATTGCTAGGACTGAGGTAGACAGTTGTCACCAAGGTCTCAGTCTTGGATGAAGAATTAGATGTAAACCAGCCAGTGCAACTGTAAGTAGCTGTCATGTCTCCATAGCCAAATGCTGAAGGTATCCTGCAGTCAATTACATAGATTTCTTGGAAACACTCAAAGACAATGAATCTGCCTCTGTGAAAAGTCCCAAAAGTGGTTATAATCAGAGTCGGATCCTCATCGTTGTAGAAAGCTATCTTCTGAATCCCAAAGTATGTGGCTGAAACAACAGCAACTACTCTGGGAGAACGAAGAACAATTTGTTGACTAGAAGCCACACCAGTTGATTCTGCATTTTCTGTATCTCTGACAAAGTCCTCTAGATCTTCAGCTGGGGCATTGTCCCCTGTGTAAAAGCCTGGGTTGTCCTGTGTGCAGAAACCTGGGGGGTCCTCTGTCTGGAAACCCGGGTTGTTCTCTCTGTAAAGGCTTGGGTTGTCCTCTGGGTAATAACCTGGGTTTTGCTTTGTGTGGAAACCTGGGTTGTCCTCTGAGTAAAAGCCTGGGTTGTCCTGTGTGCAGAAACCTGGGGGGTCTTCTGTGTGGAAACCTGGGTTGTCCTCTCTGTAAAAGCTTGGGTTTTGCTCTGTGTTAAAGCTTGGGTTGTCCTCCTGGTAAAAACCTGGGTTTTGTTCTGTGTAAAAGCCTGGGTTGTACTCTGAGTTAAAACCTGGGTTTTGCTCTGTGTGGAAACCTGACTCAGGAGTTTCTGGATCATGATCTGGTTTCCTATTTGCATGGTTCAGTTTTAACTTTTATTTGTGGATACAGTGATAAACTGTCTTTACATACAGGGATTAAGGAAGTTATTTTGAGCCCATGCAGTGATTACCATGACAGAGTCATGTCTGTTTTTAATGCAGTTGCCTGCAATGGTGCCTGATGGCCCAAGGATCAGGTCCATCCAGGCTCGGTTTTGGTCCCTGTTCCTTTAGAGATTTCTTCAGATTCTCTGAATCTTTTAATGGTATGATGTTCTATAGATGATGAAATCCACTCATTCTTTGACATTTTACACTCAGGAACTTTATTCTGAAGCTGTTGAGCTATTTGCTCTCACAGTCTCTCACACAGTGGTGAACCTCTTCCCATCTTTACCTCTGAGAGACTTAGCCTCTCTAAATGTCCTTTTTATATCCAGTCATGTTACAAACCTGTTGTAGATTAACCTTATTAGCTGTGAGATGGTCCTCCGGCTATTTGTAGCACAACACAAGTTTTTACCAGTCTGGTTGTTCCCGTAACATCTTCTAACTGTGCTGCAGGCATCAAATTTAAAATAAACATAATTTTCCATAAAACAGTTATATTTCTCACCGTATCAGTTGACTTTGCTTTATTTTTTATTTAAATGAAGCCTTGAAAACCCCTAAATTCTATTTTTATCAACATTTTACACAGCGCCCACACTCTTATGATATTGATCAGTTAGGAGTATTTAATTTGACTGGGATCCTGTACAACACATCTGCTGAGTAAGAGTTGGCTATGAAGCAGTCTTGCAGCCCTTAGACAGGGAGGTCTAAAACTACAATGCAAATCATACTAATACTTATAATAGTGATAACAACAATGGATTTCGAGTAGTACAAAGCTCACTCACACTAGCTCGAGATATTTTCAATCAGATTCAATCAGGTTCTCCTCTCTAAACATGTATCTCTTACATAAGTCCTGGTCTCCCTCACATTGCTCCTGCAGAGCAAGGTTTTATAAGGGTCCCAGTTTAAAGTATATAGTTTTATAGTCTCAGAGCAGCTTTACATTGCATGTCACATTCACACACTGATGGCAGAGGCTGCTACGTAAAGCACCATCAGTATTAACTAATCCCATTCATAGTGATACTCTGACCCCATTGCCTCAATGAATTACAGCCTGTGTTAACCAATGTGCAGAATCAGCTTCACAGGCATCCTCAGAAAGTCATTCACAGTTAGCACAGACCCCTCTGTGTGTGTGCGTGTGTGTGTGTGTGCGTGCGTGAGTGTGTGTGTGCTCCATGCTCGCCCGCAGTCAGGCTGATCAGCAGGAGTTATTGATTTCCATTTGCTCATTGCTCGTCCTGTTCAGGAAATTTAACAAGATGGATGTGTTTAAAGCTAAAGTTCAGACGTTGGCTCTAATTGTGGCCGCTGTTACACACGCTGCTAATTGGGACGAATGGTCGTCTCTGTGGTCCTCGCAGACGGAGGGTCTGCTTAGAGACACTTGATTTATTTCTTTTAAAGATTGCAGCTCGCAGAGGGACACTTTCTGAACTATAAGTAGAAGAATGGATATTCCTCAAAGGTGGAGGGCGAGCGGGTCGGGGCCTGTCATGTAGCTCAGGAAATTACTATTAGAGGTCAAAATATGTCCCTATGCGCTCACAGAATTTTCATATTTGATCCATGTTACCTGTAGGTGGAGTTTTATAAATATGATATGCTTATTCTTCTTTGAATATTTTGGGAAAGCAATGATTTACATCAGAAATCCGAAAGATTAAACCAAAATCACAGCATACAGACTCAAAACTGATGCTCAGGATCCATATCACACAAAACGCCGAACACTTTGATGTTCATGTTTCAGCATTCTAGCCTCTAAGCAGGATCAGGTCATCTGGAGTTCATTGAATGTGCCAAAAAATAAATAAATAAAAATAAATAAAAAATAAGAGCTCAAAGACTCACCTATTTCTCTGCAAGCATCAGCTAGAAATAGACAGAAATGTCCTATTTATGCTGCATTGGCTTTGAATTAGCTTAGGACTTTTACACACACACACACACACACACACACACACACACACACACACACACACACACACACACACACACATTTTAAAATAGTTTAACAGCTATTGTTGACTGTCAAATCTCCAGTTTAAAACAAATATACGTCATAAGTTTACTGAACTGGGTAACAGATAAAGGATGCCAATTATATCCCATCCACACAGCAAGAGCGTCAGTTGATTTAGAAGACCCAGTATAGATAAATATAGCAAAAAGATCCCAGAAAGGAGGAAAAACATAAAATTTTTAGTCTTACTGAACAAGTTACCATTCCAGCTATTGAGCTGAAGCTGCTGCTCCCTCCGCAAAGATTTAGGAATTGGCTTTCAAGTGAATGCTTAAAAAAAATTGCCAAACAATACCCTGAAATTCACAAAAAAATCTTAGAGTTAATGGATCTTACATCTAAAACCTTTTTAAAGTTTGCTCCAACAGACTGGCCCCCCCACAGTCCAAGTCCAGTGACAGATTTAATCCAAACACATTTCATCCATGAAGATCCACGGATAAGTTCAAATCTACAAAGGCTTTATGATCTCTCTCAGGTTGTGATCCATCTTATCATTTCAGAGCAGGGTTTGGATCCTTCTTCCTCAGGTGAACCACCTCCAGTGGATGCTGGTGATGGGAATTTTACAGATCAGATCATGTGGCTCAGCAAGAACTCCTAGCACATAGAAGTCAGAGTATTCATGACTGACACAAACTCTCCACCTCGGTTTGCTGCAACTGTGCTATTTCTAGCTGTTTTTAATCAGGCTGTAAACAAGCTTAATTCTGGCTCCAGTTTTCAACTCTCAGGCTTGTTCCTTGATTGAACCTTCAGGCTTCTGCAGAAATGTGTGAAATACAAGGTGGAAACAGAGTGTATGCAAATAGCTACATTATATGTCAAAAGTGGTGATCTTCTGCAGAGCACCTGGAGACACCACCCACCTACACCCACTGTCCCCTTCAATAAGTAACTCAAGAAGCCACCTATGGGCTTCACCATTTCCTTCACTTCTGCTGATCTCCTTCCCATTAAACTCCAATCTTTTCTCCATATTACGGTAACTCGGCGCTGTGGGATCACCATGACAAAACACCTTATAACCTGAACAGATCTGATGTGAAAATAACCCAATATAACAGCAGCAAATCTGAGTATAATAAGAAAAGATCAATGCGGGGAAGATTTAGATGGTACGGGCAATAAAAGGGGAAGCTCTCACGAGAGAGGACATAATGAGAAAAGGTCTCTTCGATATAGAAAACCTGATACAGTCTTATCCTTCAGACGAGTGCAATCCCATCATCCTGCACACACCAAACTCTCTGGGTGATGTTTGTGAAGTAATGAGAGGCATTTTGTTTACTCAGTAATAAAAGGTATAACAATATCCAGAGAACATGGATTATAACACATGTATGTTTACAGAAGCAAAGACGATGATTTCCTTTGTGCTGCAGCAGCTAAAACCCGCCACGCTGCATACTAAACGCGCTCGGCTCTGAAGACTCGCCCTCAGTGTTGCTAAACTGTTTATTAAGACAAAGCAATTATGTGAATATTTTAATCCCCCCACAAGGCCCAGGTGCTGTTCCTACTGTGTGTGGCAGGATATAAATAAATATGAAATATAGATGCACTCACAGTCTGTGCCCTTACTTACTGGAGGAGGAAGAGGAGGCCTGGTTTGTCCTTGGTGATACAGATAAAACGTCACCTTCTTCATGCTTGTCACAACTCCTACACACTTTAACAAGTCTGCAGACGGTGGCTCTCGTCACATGGAAAGGTCATCAGAAGCAGTGCTCTGACTTTCTGTAGCGTGGAGCCTGTCTAATGACGGTCTGTTCAATCTTTCAATTAACAGCTCATCAAATTAGAAGGTTTATTAGTGTCATTTTCGTGAGGACTTGACCTTTTGTAGGACAGAACTTTTAAAGCACTCGTAGTTTTAAAAAAAAGGAAGAAAGAAAACACATGATTTTCTGTGACTGATCGACAACTACTCCCCCTTTTTAGTTATATAATTTATCACTGTATTTCATTCATTAAAATCCCCATTTAAAAGACAGCAAAATACCTTAATGTGAGCTTTTATTCAGTAGGTCTGGGACACCTATAGGGTAGCTTGGCATGATAAGCAGCTCAAAACTATTCATCTTACACTAGCATTTGTTAAGTCCCTCATTTCAGGACTATACAGCGTCTACCTAAAAGGGTCTTTTGGCTGCTTTTTCACCGATGGAAAGTTAGACACAGCTTGGGGGGAGTTACTTTTTACCCAGCTTGGTAGTCAGGAAGTGACTCCAAAGTTATGCTTTGATAGTGAACATCTGAGACTAGCCATTTGCACCCACTTTGCTCCCAGTTTAGCCACATTAGTAATATTTGTTCCAGCTTTTGGCTCAGAGCATTTATGATGAAGACAAACAGCTCCAGGTTTCAGAAACAGCTGAGACCCAAATCCAGCTTGTACTGGTCTTTGTTTACAAAGGAGTCATCAGTGAAGTGGTGAGCAAAAACTGCTACATTTTGTTCTGTTTTCCTGAAAACAAACGTCTTACTGTTTTCAGGAGCCTTTGTCTTTGGGAAGAGAGACCAGCAAAGACTTTCCTTAACACCCAAAAGAAAACTTGCTGGACGAGCTCGTCCTTTACCACTGTCCCGATAGGACAACACAACCTGACATCAAGTTTGTTAACATGTCTCAAAATCAACTGTTCAACTTTATGAATATCTACAACCAAGTCCCCAACAAGCAGCAACCTCTGATCTTATGAAGGTAGGCTAATGTTAAATACTACTACTACCGCATCTCTGTTTGAGGCTGTCTCCAGAAGCACCGAAAGGAGCACAAACATTGAGAGCAAAAAGCTTAAGTTTAAAAAAAACAAAACAAATGTGTTTACAGCCTGGTCTGAGGAGGCAGTTTTGGTCTGAATA